CTTTCAGTTGTTTTATTCCTCATTTTTGAGTTCTTAGTCTACTAGCTCATTTTCTTTTAAGATTTTTCTAGAGCTCAAAGCACTTGGGATGATTTTTTTTTCCTGTTTTTCTCCATGCTTCCTGAATTTCTTCCCACTTTATCTGAACCTGATTGGCTTTCCTAATGAACTGCAATTTCGGGGTTGTTATTTTATGCTGTATGCACTTTTTCTATGATTTATAAGCTTGTGTGAAGGAGGGGAAGAGGCAGGACTCAGGGGAGGTGATGTGCAGCCTTTGTTATTAGAACACCAAAGTTCTGCCCTGGCCAGTTTTGTTCAGTGGTTAGAACATCAGCCCGCGGACCAAATAGTCCTGGGTTTGATTCCTGGTCAAGGGAATGCACATGGGTTGCAGATTCTACCCCGGCCCCAGTCAGGGTCCTGCACAAGGCAACCAATCAATGTGTCTCTTTCACATCGATGTTTTTCTCTCTCTCTCCCCCTCCCTCCCACCCTATATAAAAAGAAAAAAAGGGGGGGAATACCAAAGTTCTACAATCACTTCTGACGTTTGAAGTATCTATCCTAGAGTTCACTCTACTAGGAATTGGTATATCCCATTCCTATGGGAAAGAGCCTCAGTCTTGGAACCTCCCCCAATTCAGTATGCTTTCCTAGAGTCTTAACTGCTATCCAAAAAAGGTAGTCTATTCTTTACTCCTCATTTCACCCTCTTCTCCCAGTAGCCATTTTCCAGAGAGAAAAGATCAAAGCAAGGAAACCACTTAATTTTCTTTTCTCTTGGAATATATATGCATATATATGTGTTAATTCCCAGGATTTTGTGGACCTAATAGTATGTGTTTTGATGGAATGGAGGCAGGACTGGAAGCCTTGACATACTCAGAACAGAATTTTCTTTTCCTTTCCCTGCCACTTGTTGATATTTAAGATACTGAGTAATTACCCTTTTTTCTTTTTTTGTTTGCTGTGGATGAAATTTAACTTAAAAAAATTTTTTTTCTGCCCTGGCCAGTTTGGCTCAGCGGTTAGAGCGCCGGCCTGCGGTCCGGAGAGACCCGGGTTCGGTTCCCGCTAAGGGCACGTACTTTGGTTGCAGTTTGTCCCCGGCCCTGGTTGGTCGTGCGGGTGGCAGCCACTCGATGTGTCCCTTCACGTCGATGTTTCTCACTCTCTCTCCCTTCCTCTCTCTCCCTCCCACTCTATCTGTACAAAAAATGGAAAAATATCCTCGGGTGAGGATTAAAAAAATAAATAAATAAAATAAAATAAAATTTTTTTTTCTTTTATTGATTTTAGAGAGAGAGTAAGGGGAAGGGAGAGAGAGACAGAAACATTGATAAGCAAGAATATCAATTGGCCACCTCCTGCATGCCCCCCAACTGGGGATCGGCCTGCAACCCAGGCATGTGCCCTGATCAGGAATCAAACCAGTGACTTCCTGGCGTAGGGGTTGATGCTCAAGCACTCAGCCACATCAGCCGGGCAGTCCCTGATTCTTTTTTTTAATCCTCACAGGAGGACATTTTTGCATTTATCTTCAGATAGAGCAGGAGGGAGAGAGGGAGAAAGAGCGAGAGAGAGAGAGAGAAACATCAATGTGAGAGAGACACACCTAGTGGTTGCCACCCACACGACCCCAACCGGGGCCGGGGACAAACTGCAACAGAGGTACGTGCCCTTTGCAGAAACTCAACCCAGGACTCTAGTCCACAGGCCGACGCTCTAACCACTGAGCAACCAGCCAGGGCCCTGATCTTTTTCGATATTTATTTTCTTTCTTTTTCTTGTCAATGCTTTAGACTTTCAGTGAACATCACTAGAAATATGTGAATTCATAAATGTTTAAAGAATAGCTTTATTAAAGTAGGTTTCACATACCATAAAATTTACCCATTTCATGTGTACAATCTAGCAATTTTAGTAAATATGGAGTGGTGCAACCATCACAACATATATACTTTTTACAAAAAATATAGTTACTTTCTTAATTCCTACTTACCGACTCTCACAATTCTAAAATGTACTCACTGATTGCCACAGTAAACTAAATGTGGTTAGGAGGCAACTTTTGAGAACTTTTGGGTAGTTCTATTCCTGCCAGTTGAGCTTGACTACCAAATATCAGTAGGGTTTGTTCTATTTATTTATATCAGTGATGTTTGCTATTATAATTTAATTAAATGTTTAAAAACTTATGAAATATGCGTGTAAAGATAAAAGAGGTGTTTCTTCAGCCCGGACAGTGTGGGTCAGTGGATTGAGCGTCATCCCATGCACCGAGAGGTTGCTGGTTCAATTCCTGGCCAGGGCACATGCCCAGGTTGTGGGTTCAATCCCCAGTAATGGGGCATGCAGGAGGTAGCCAACTGATGTTTCTCTCTCATTGATGTTTCTATCTCTTTCCCCTTCTTCCATCCTCTCTATCTAAAAAAAAATCAATAAAAATATATGTATTTTTAAAAAGAGATGTTTCTATGAAAACTAAGTTGAATGATTTGGAAAGACCTGTTAAAGGCAAGTTGCTAAAAAAAATTGCTAAATTAAGTTCGTGTGAGAAATCTGTGATTGGAAAAACTACAAGTCTATAAGAATTTTGCATTCAGATTGCTTAACAAGTGTCTTCCAGTTATTGCTCCACTTTAAAGAAACATTTGAAGAAATCATAGATAATTTGTTAAAGGCAAGAAGCACAAACCACTCCAAAAAACACTTCAATCAGAGGCCTCTAATTGCAGAAAAAGCCTGAGGCTATCTCAAAAGACTGGTGAAGGAATTTACATTTTTAGGTTAAAATAAAATACTTATAATATACAATAAAGTTATTTCTCTTAAACAAAACAAAACTGTATCTTGTATCATGCCTTTTTTTTTATCCTCACCAGAGGACATTTTTTCCATTTTTTGTTCAGATACAGTGGGAGGGAGAGAGAGAGAGAGAGAGAAGCATCTACGTGAAAGGGACACGTCAAGTGGTTGCCACCCACATGACTCAACCAGGGCCGGGGGCGAAAAACTGCAGCTGAGGTACATGCCCTTAGCGGGGGCCGAACCTGGGTCTCTTAGGACCACAGGCCAACGCTCTAACCGCTGAGCCAAACCGGCCAGGGCGTATAATGCTTTTTTAGACTGCATTTTAATTGACTTTTTCTTTTTAAATTTTTTTTTTAATCCTCATCCAAGGATATTTTTCCACTGATTTTTGGATAGAGTGGGAAGGAGGAAGGGAGAGTGAGAGAGAAACATTGATGTGAGAGAGATACATCGATTGGCTGCCTCTGGATGACCCTAACTGGGGCTGGGGATCAAACCTGAGACTCTGTGGTCCAGGGGGGCCCACATTATAACCATTGACCCAAACTAGCCAGGGATTTTTTTTATTTTTTATTTTTAGAGAATGTTGAAGCTGGGGACAGTGAAACAAGGAAGGGCCTAGGCTAGAAGAAGCAACAGGAGAGTAGGAGGGGGAAATGAGCCTAAGCTGGGCTACTTTGGCTCACTAAGAAGTGAGAGAAAAGGGGGCCTTGGGGACAGGTTCAGAGGATTAGCACAGGATGAGCTGTTGCTGCCCATTGCTCCCTGGTTGCAAGCCTTGTGGGGTCCCTTAGAGTTTATGAGATGCATCTCTGTGGAGGAAGAAGAGGGGCAGGGAAAGGTACCACTGAGTGGCTCCTGGGAGGGAGAGCACAACCTTAATAGACTTTTTCAATGAATTAACCACCAGTCCCAACAGCATCTGATAAAAGGGTCTCTGGTGTGTGCTTAATGAGCTTTTCCTTTACAATATATTGAAAACATATCATGTTACTATATATAAATACCATATCCTTTATTTTTTATTTTTCTTATCCTCGGCTGAGGACATTTCTGAGTTTATCTTCAGAGAGAGCAGGAGCGAGAGAGGGAGGAAGAGACAGAGAGAAACATCATGTGAGAGAGACACATCCAGTGGTGGCCACCCACACGACCCCAACCGGGGCTGGGGACAAACTGTAACAGAGGTACATGCCCTTAGAGGGAACGGAATCCAGGACTCTCCAGTGCGCAGGCCCATGCTCTAACTGCTGAGCCAAACCAGCCAGTGCTACCGTATCCTTTGTAAAACCTGCTTCATAATATTCCATTGTATAGTTTTACTTAACAAATTCTCTTTTTAAACTATTTCAATGTTTTTCGAGGGTGGGGCAGGGGAACTTGAGCAGAGCACTAAGATGATGAAAGTAAACTGAAATAGTGAATCTGGCAAGATAACATAAAATGGCTTAAAGAGGGGGAATGGAAAAGGGGAAACCGGTAGAGAAGAGGCTTATGAAATAATGCAGCTCTGAGATTAGCCCCGGAAGAGGCAGTGGCTTTTTTCATCACTCTTAAGCATCCAACAGTTGTTCTTGTCCCTCTGGAAAGCCCTGATATTTCCAGAAAACACACTGTACTGTATTCCTTCTTTCTACCTTACCTGATTTGAGTCCTCCTCCCGCATTTCATCTCAGCCTGTTGGAATCCTACCTTTTTCTTCAAGATCCTTAATAAGTAGCACACACCCTGCCCGGATTGACCCTGGCTGGAAATTATCCCTCCCCTTCCATTTCTAATAGAGAGCCGGGTCCTCTCTTCCTTTCTTCTTCCTCAAAGTATTGTTCTTCCAAAGGCAGTACATGCAATGGTTAAAAGCAACGACTCTGGACCCTCTAACTCGCTACCTCTGTGACCTGGCCCAGATTCTCAGTGCCTCAGTGTCCCGACGGTAAAATGGGGACAAGTGTACACGGTTGTTACGAGGATAAATCAAAGCCAACAGATTCAAAGCACTCGGAATAGTGTTTGATGTGAAGCGGTGTATTAATGTGAGAATTCATTCTGACTCACCGTGGCAACCCGTCTACTAAAGCAAGACGCGGAGGCGGACGCCCAGCCCCGGGGGCAGCCCCGGCGGAGGCGCGAAGGGAGCGCGCGCCCGAGCCGCCCCGCCCCGCCCCACGCGAGGCAGGTCACGTGACTGAGCCAAGATGGCTGGGCCGGTGTCGCTGTGGCTCCTGGCTCTCGCTCTCCTGCCGGCGTCCTACGCTGCCCAGGGGCTAGGGCATCTCGACCCAACCGCGCCGCTGCCGCTGGTGATCTGGCATGGGATGGGTGAGTGAGTGAGAGGAGGATCAAAAGGGCTTGGCGACCCTTCCCTCTTTCAGTCTGGGTTCGCTTCTGCAAAGTGCGAGCGCGGTGGGCGAGGACCGTGGTCACACGGCAGCCGGCTGGCCCGACGTTAGGATTTGGGGGCCACTCTGCATTGGGAAGGGTGGGGGCGGGAAGGAGCTGTTCTTTTGTGAGCGTTCACAGAGGGCTGTGCACTTCGTTCGGGCTTTACCTGCTGAACTTGTTTAATCTTCACAGCACGGGCATCAGGATGCAGCATCGCACTTGCTCAGGAGAGCTGGGCTGTGCTGCAAGACCCAGGCATCCATCCTTTTATTCACTCACACACTGAGCAGACATTTGTTAGGCACCAAGTAACGTATAGTTATTGAGCACCTACTGATGCTGAGGATACAGTAGTGAACACTACAGACTAAATTCTTTGCTTTTTTGGAACTTACTTTCCTATGAGAGAGAGAGCCTATAAAGAAATAAGTAAAACATAGTATGTCAAATGGTGATAAGTGCGATAGGAAAAAAAAGAAAACAAGGAGGAAGATAGACACTGAAGATGGCGGCTTGCAGTTTTACAGAGCAAGATCAGAAAGGATTCACTGAGAAAGTGACATCTGAGCAAAGACCTGAAGTGGACAAGGGAGGTGCCTTGTGGCTATCTCATAAAAGGAACAGCAAATGCAAAGGCCCTGAGGCAGAAGTCTGGTTTGTTCAAGAAACTAATAGGTCAGTGTGTCAGGAACTGAGTGAGCAAGGAGAAGAAAATAGAGGTTTAGAGTCAGGGATGGGGGGAGGTGAGGATAAGAGGATGGAGGCGCTGCAGATGTTAGGCCCACTAAGGCTACTGCAGGGACTCTTTTTTTTTTATCCTCACCCGAGGACATTTTTCCATTTTTTGTTCAGATACAGCGGGAGGGAGAGAGAGGAAGAGAGAGAGAGAGAGAAACATCGATGTGAAGGGACACATCAAGTGGCTGCCACCCACACGACCAACCAGGGCTGGGGACAAACTGCAGCCAAGGTACGCGCTCTTAGCGGGAACCGAACCCAGATCCCTCTGTACCGCAGGTCGACGCTCCAACCGCTGAGCCAAACCGGCCAGGGCAGAGTGACATGATCTTAATTTGCATTTTAAAAGTACCACTCTTGTTTAAAATAGATTGTAGGAGGTTATGGACATTTGCAGGAAGACAAATTAGGAAGCTATTACAGTAATTTAAGCAAGTAGTAGCTTGGAACAGTATAGTAATATGGAGATGTGGTCAAAGTTTGGAATATTTTGAAGGTGGAACCAAAGGGATTTGCTAACGGATGAGATGTGGGATGAGAGAGAGAGAAAGGAATCTAAGATGACTCCATGGGTTTTGGCCTGAACAACTAGAAAGATGGGCCCTGGCCGGTTTGGCTCAGCGGTTAGAGCGTCGACCTGCGGTCCGGAGAGACCCGGGTTCGGTTCCCGCGAAGGGCACGTACTTCGGTTGCAGTTTGTCCCCGGCCCTGGTTGGTCGTGCGGGTAGCAGCCACTCAATGTGTCCCTTCACGTCGATGTTTCTCTCTCTCTCTCTCTTCCTCTCTCTCCCTCCCACTCTATCTGTACAAAAAATGGAAAAATATCCTCGGGTGAGGATAAGAAAAAAAAAAAGAAAGATGGAGCTGTCATTTTACTAAAGTGGGGAAGTCTGTAGGGAAGTCCTTCTGGGGTGGGGAGAAGATCAAGGGTCTGCTTTTGAATTCTTTTTTTTTTTTTTTTTTATCCTCACCCGAGGATATTTTTCCATTTTTTTTGTACAGATAGAGTGGGAGGGAGAGAGAGGAAGGGAGAGAGAGAAACATCGACGTGAAGGGACACATCGAGTGGCTGCCACCCGCACGACCATCCAGGGCCGGGGACAAACTGCAACCGAAGTACGTGCCCTTAGCGGGAACCGAACCCGGGTCTCTCCTCCGGAACGCAGGCCGAGGATCTAACCGCTGAGCCAAACTGGCCAGGGCTGCTTTTGAATTCTAAATTTGAGATGCTTGTTAGACATCCAGGAGATATTGTAGAGGCATTTGGAGTGTGGAGTCTAGGAGAGAGATACAGTCTTGAGATTTAAGTTGGAGAAGCCTTTAGCATATAGCTGGTACTTAAAGCTTTGAGATGGGTGAGATAACCTAGGGAGTTGGTGTACACAGAAGAAGGAAGAGGTCTGAGGATTGAGCCCTGAGGCACTCCCAACATATGGAGGTTGAGATAATGAGGAACTAGCAAAGAAGACAATGATGGAACAACAAGGGAGGTGGAGGCAAGTCAGGAGAGTGCAATGTCTTGGGGAACAGGTGACAATGCTGTAAGAGGAAGGGAGTAAACTCTATGGAATGTTGACAGGTCAAGTAAGGTAAGGGCTGAGAATTGGTTATTGGATTTGACAACATGACTATCACTAAAGACCTTGACAGAAGCAGTTTTGGAAGAATGGCAAGCATGAGAGCCTTATTGGAATGCGTTGAAAGAAAGTGTTCAGAGAGGAATTAGAGTCCGCTAATATAGACAGTTCTTTCGGGGCCTTGTGCCAGCTCCTGGGGCTGCTACAGTGGAGTTAAAGGAGAACACATGATGCTCCATGTCCTTCCAGAGCACAGTCAGTCCACAGGGAGGCAGGTGAGCAACCACCAAAGTACAGTTCAGTGTGGTGAATGTTACTGTGAGAGAAATCGAAGATGCTGTAGTCCTTAGCTTTTTTTTCTTTAAACTAATTTGTAAGCTTCCTCTTAGGTAGAAAACAGGATGATTAAGTTAAATGGAAAATAACCTCAGCCCACCTCTCCCATGCAGTGGCCTGTCACTTTGCTTCCCATTCTTAGTTCTGGTTCCTTAAAACGGGAAAAGAAACAGGATTGGGCCTTGGGTGAAACAAGGAAGATTCTAGAGCAGCAATTTTTCAACCTTTTTTATGTCATGGAACACATAAACTAATTGGTAAAATTCTGCAGCACACCAAAGAATATATTTTTTGCTAATCTGACAAAAAACAATTAGTATAATTTTGATTCATTCACACCAGACGACTGTTGTTGGGTTGGCTGTTGTCATTTTTTTATGTGACAATCTAAGGGACGAGAGGTCAGTGCCCCTGACTAAATTGTCAGGTATTACATGTTTTAAAAATCCTTGTGGCACACCAGTGTACCTGCCTCAGCAAAAACCAACTGTTGAAAATCGCTGCCCTAGAGTATAAGTTTCAAGGAAGCTCGCTCTCTCTCTAGTTTGTTACAAATTTAGGGTCAGCACTTGCATGGATCTGAGAGTGTCTCCTTATATTTTGTGTCCTAGGTGGTGCTTCACTTGTCTTATCCTAGTCCTGGCCTTAAACAGAAATTCAATTCCAAAGCGCTTTTGAGTCCATTAACCCAAAATGTTCTTGATAATGGAGGGGAATATGCACCTCTGCTTATTTTTCAGTTGTAAATTTGGTGTCCCAATTCTATTGTATGGGCTTTGGACGTTTATTACTTGATAAACATGAGCTAAGCAAAAAGTGTTGTTCTTTTTTTAATTGAGGTGAAGCTCATGAAGTGAAGCATACAATTAACTGTAATAAAGTAAATTCAGTGGCATTTAGTATATGGACAGTGTTGTGCAATCACCATTTTTCTTTAGTTTCAAAACTTTGTTATCACCCCCACAAAACACCTGTACACATTAAATAATCATTCTTTATTCCACCTCTCCCACAATCCCCTGAAAATGTCCAGTCTGGTCTCTGTCTGTATGGATTTGCCTATTCTGGACATATTATATAAAAGGAATCATACAATATGTGGCCTCTTGTATCTGGCTTATTTCATATATTATAATGTTTGCAGGTTCATCCACACTGTAGCATGTGTTGGTACTTCATTTTTGTGGCTGAATACTATTCTGTTTTGTGTGTGTGTGTGTGTGTGTGTGTGTGTGTGTGTGTCTGAAAATTTGTTTATCCATTCATACTTTGATTGACATCTGGGTCATTTCCACCTTTTAACTGTTACAAATAATGTTGCAGTAAACATTCATGTTCATCATGTATGGACATAATGTTTTCATTTATCTTGGGTCTATATCTAGAAGTGCAATGGTTGTGTTATATGATAACTGGAACTGTGTGTTTAGTGTTGTTGTTTTTTTATCCTCACCCGAGGACATTTTTGCATTCATCTTTGACAGAGCAGGTGGGAGAGAGGGAGGAAGAGAGAGAGAGAGAAACATCGATGTGAGAGAGACACATTGACTGGCTGCCACTCACACGACCCCCACCAGGGCCAGGGACAAACTGCAACCGAAGTACGTGCCCTTAGCGGAAAATGAACCTGGGTCTCTCTGGTCCATAGGCCAACGCTCTAACCGCTGAGCCAAACCGGCCAGAGCTGTATGTTTAATCTTTTGAGGAACTACCAGCCTGTTTTCACAATGGCCGCATCATGTATTTCCACTAACAAATGTACAAAGGTTCCTATTTCTCCATATCCTGCCAATACTTTTTTTTTTTTTAATTTGTTTTACTGATATTTTTAGAGAGAGAGGAAGGGAGAGAGGGATAGAAACATTGATATGAGAGAGAAACATTGATCGGCTGCCTCCTGCACACCCCCTACTGGGGATCAAGCCAGCAACCCGGGCATGTGCCCTGACTGGGAATCGAACCGGGACCTCTTAGTCCATGGGAATATGCTCAATCCACTTCGCCACACTGGCCGGGTCTTTTTTCTGTTTTTAATTAGGTTATGTTCTTGTCACTGAGATGTAAAAGTGTTTTGTATATTCTGGATATTAAACCTATATCAGATATATATTTTGCAAATATTTTCTCCCATGCTATGTGTTGTTTTTTCACGTACTTGATAAGCCCTTTGAAGCACAAATGTTTTCAAAAAATAATCTTATGACTCATGAGTTCCCATCATTGCCTTTGTTGTCTAGGAGACAGCTGTTGTAATCCCTTAAGCATGGGTGCTATAAAAAAAATGGTTGAGAAGAAAATACCTGGAATTTACGTCTTATCGCTAGAGATTGGGAAGACCCTGGTGGAGGTAAGGCTCTTCACAGCTTCGTTCCTTTGAAAGTTTGCTGACTAATTTCACAGAATCTACTATTAAAATGCTTCACCTTATATTTTTAGCAGCAAATCATGCAATGACATTTTAACTCCTGAGTGCCTTATGTGAGGATGCCAACCTCAACAAGTTCACCTCTTAGAGAAGATACCAGTGTTTGTTTTCAACCTCATCTTTTCACTTCTCTGTGGCTCCTCTTTTAGGATGTGGAGAACAGCTTCTTCTTGAATGTCAATTCCCAAGTAACAACAGTGTGTCAAATTCTTGCTAAGGATCCTAAATTGCAGCAAGGCTACAATGCTATGGGATTCTCCCAGGGAGGCCAATTTTTGTAAGTTCCTTTCTGTTATACCAATGACATGGAATTGATTTCTTTTCTCTCTTATTCAGGTAATTCTTTTTGGATCTTCACCTGTCTTGGAAGGGAAAATACTCTTTCTCTTTCAAACTATAAGAGAAAGTTTATTTAGAAAGTCACAGAGGTAGAGAAAATGGGCCCAGGAAACAAGTTACAGAGGCAAAAAAAAAAAAAAAGAGCCCTTGGAGTTTAGGAGAAAGAGAGAGGCAAGGAAAATGCACTTGGGGGAAGGAGGTGGGGAGAGGCGTGGGACTGCTTCCTAGACAGCTGCCTGGAAACTGTTCTCAAGTGTCCCCATGTAAGAAGTTTTATGTACCTTAATTTATATTCTATGAAAGAATAAAGACTTGTGTTTGGTCATAGCAGAAATCCTGAAACTGTGTGGCCTTGAGGAGCCACAGAGATCGAGTATCTTAATCTGGGAAACTGATTGTTCTTAATACATACCCATCTGACAGTCAGAGCTGATAATCCTTTCTTTTCCCCTCAGGAGGGCAGTGGCTCAGAGATGTCCTTCGCCTCCCATGATCAATCTGATCTCGGTAGGGGGACAACATCAAGGTAACTTTGGCCTCTCTGCCGTGTTTTTCCTATTTTAACCCACATGACCACTTGATTTTTAAAAAATTCTAGCAGCTCTATTTATACAAGAAGTTAGCCATCCTTGTAAAATTCTGTGTTTTTTTTTTTTTCTATTTATAACAAATTAGCGAACATTCTCAAAGAAATAGGAAGAAACTTAGGGTTTCCATAGGCCTGGAACACAGGTCAATCATTAGGTTGCCATCTCCTTCAATCCAGTTTAATTGATTTAATTGACATGATTTCCTAGATGTGAGATGGTTGCAGCCACAGAGCAGGTGTTAGTTGAAGAATTAGGAAAGCCTAACACCCTGTCCTGTTTTCTGACACTGGTGATGTCTGTTGAAGTTAGGCTTAGGCAAAGAATAATGTGTAAGTTGTTGTTTTTTTTGTCTGTAAAATTAATTAGTAGCAATTAAATCCCTAGAAAAGCAACAGGTTTTCTAGTAGGCAAAATTATAGGCTTTTGGGGAAGGGTGTGTCTTTAGAATAGAACTTTATCTCCGTTCTGATGGATATAGCTATTAGGTGGTAAAGTGTAGGGGTAGAAGGATTCTCCTTATAATCAGGAAACTGGGTTCACTGAGTTAACTATTATAGGTGGGCAAGTAATGTGGTGTTGTTAGTCTTTTTCACAGATGAGGGAAACTAAAATAAGTTCCTACTCTTCTTGTAGGAATTTTTAAACAGAGAATGAAGTGAAATAATAGGTAGGAAATACTTTCTAAAAGTGCAAGTATTATTGAAGTGGAAATTGGTAAAAACAGCTTTATCGCCCTGGCTGGTTTGGCTCAGTGGTTAGAGTGTCAGCCTGCAGACTAAAGAGTCCCTGGTTTGATTCCAGTCAACGGCATGTACTTCAGTTGCAGTTGCAGGAAGCAACCAATTGATGTGTCTCTCTTACATCGATGTTTCCCCACCCCGCTTCCACTCTATCTAAAGATAAATAGAAAAAATATCCTCAGGTGAGAATCAAATAAAAAAATAAATAAATAAAATTATTCTTTAAAAAAAACCAACAAAACAGCTTTATCACCCTGGCTGGTTTGGCTCAGCGTTTAGAGTGTCAGCCTGTGGACCCAAGAGTCATGGGTTCGATTCCCAGTCAAGGGCATGTACCTGGGTTGCAGGTTTGATCCCTGACCCTGATCGGGTTGTTCAGGAGGCAACCAATGTGTCTCTCTCAAACTGATGTTTCTCTCTTTTCCTCTCCCTCTCCCCCCTCTCCCCCCTCTCTCCCCTCTCCCCTTCTCCCTCTCTCCCACTCTATCTGAAAATCAATGGGGGAAAAATGGGTTAATACTTGCAAGACAGAATTGTGGTTGTATTGTTTCAAGATGTGGGCTCTGGAGCCAAAACTGCCTATGTTCATCTCCTGGCTGTATTCCTTATTATCTGACCTTGGATAAGGGATTTAATTTCTCTGTTTTAAAGTTTCATGTCTGTAATATGGGGCAAATAATGATTTCTACTTTACAAGGTGGTTATGAAGATTAAATGAATTATTGTCAATATGTGCTTAGAACTATGCCTGGTACCCCCCAAAATGTTGAGGAGGATAATGAGGATGAAAGTATAACTGGGCGAGTGGAAGGAAATGGGATTGGACACTACTTGAGTTAAGGTAGTCAGATATGACTTCTCTAAGGTAAGACCTGCGAAATGCAAATGGGTCCAGCCATTGAAGCAGCAAGAAAGGAAGTACAGGCACGCCTTGTTTTATTGCATTTTGCTTTGTTGCGCTTTGCAAATTCTGCATTTTCATCAGCATCCAGGGAAGACCCTCCACCAGCAAAAAGATTACAACTCACTGAAGTTTCTGATGATGATTAGCATTTTTTAGCAATAAAGTAATTTTGTTTAATCCTCATCTGAGGATATTTTTCTGTTTATCTTCAGATAAAGTGGGAGAGAGGGAGGGGGTGAGAAAAGGAGAGAGAGAGAAACATCGACGTGAAAGGGACACATCAACTGGTTGCCTTCTGCACGACCCTGACCAGGGCTGGGGATGAACCTCAACCAAGGTACACACCCCTGACTGGAATTGAACCCATGACTCATTGGTCCACAGGCCAACACTCTACCACTAAGCCAGACCAGCCAGGGCAGCAATAAATTATTATTATTATTATTATTATTATTATTATTTTAATCCTCACCCGAGGACAGTTTTGCATTTATCTTCAGATAGAGCGGGAAGGAGGGGGGGGTAGAGGAGAGAAACATTGACGTGAGAGAGACACATCAACTGGTTGCCATCCACATGACCCTACCTGGGTCTGGGGACATACTGCAACCAAGGTACGTGCCCTTAGCGGGAACCAAACCTGGAACTCTCTGGTCCATGGGCTGACGCTCTTACCGCTGAGCCAAACCAGCCAGGGCAATAAAAATAAATTATTTTCTAATTAGGATATGTACATTATGTTCTTAGACCCAAGGCTGTTGCACACTTAATAGACTATAATATAGGGTAAACATTTATTATTATTTTTTAATCCTCACCAGAGGATGTTTTTCCATTTGTCTTCAGATAGAGTGAAAGGGAGGGGGAGAGAGAGAGAGAGAGAAACATTGATGTGAGAGGGACACATCGTCGACTGGTTGCCTCCCACACAATCCTGACCAGGGCCGGGGACAAAACCGCAGCTGAGGTACATGCCCTTGGCATGAATTGAACCTGCGACTCATTGGTCTGCAGGCCGACGCTCTACCACTGAGCCAAACTGGCCAGAGCTAGGCATAACTTTTTTTTTCTTTCTTTTTTTTTTAATCCTCACCCGAGGACATTTTTTCCATTTTTTTGTTCAGGTAGAGTGGGAGGGAGAGAGAGGAAGAGAGAGAGAGAGAAACATCGATGTGAAAGGGACACATCGAGTGGCTGCCACCCGCACGACCAACCAGGGCCGGGGACAAACTGCAACCGAGGTAGCGGAAACCGAACCCGGGTCTCTCGGGACCGCAGGCCGATGCTCTAACCGCTGAGCCAAACCGGCCAGGGCTAGGCATAACTTTTATATGCACTGGGAAACCAAAAATTTTGAATGACTCATTGCAGTTCGCTTTATTGCAGGGTCTGAACTGAACCGGCAGTATTTCTGAGATATGCCTTTACAGCCTCCGGGGAGGAACAGGTGCAAAGGGCCTTAGGCACAAAAGAGTGTGGGAGTACCAGGAGGAAGCTGGTTATAGTATTAATCCTCAATATATTATTTTCTTGAAGAATACATGAATGAAATCAGGGTCAAGCTCTGCCTTTTTTGTTCATTTCTCACAGTGCCTTGTACATAGTAGCTATTCAGTGCATAATTATTAAAGGAATGGATATTTTCTTCTACTGCTCTAGGTGTTTTTGGACTCCCTCGGTGCCCAGGAGAAAGCTCTCACATCTGTGACTTGATCAGAAAAACACTGAATGCTGGGGCTTACAACAAAGCTATTCAAGAACGGTATGTATGGTTAGCTGAAAAGGACACAGAACTGTCACTGCATGGAAATATCATGCTAACTGTCATGCTAACAGTGATTCCAGCAATAGTTGCTGGTGATATTCAAATGAGATTGTTTTTCATAAATATCTCTACTATCTGCTCAATTTTATTGTAAACGTAAAACTGCTTTAATATTAATTTTATAAAGAAAAGGAGGGCATCCTTTGAGATTGCCTGCAAGAACCTGAAGAGTATTATCCTAAATGAAACAAGCCAATCAGAGAAAGACAAATATCACATGATCTCACTTATTTGTGGAATATAATGAATAAAACAAACTGATGAACAAAATAGTCTCAAAGACATGGAAGTAGGGTACAGACTGACAAACCTCAGAAGAGGGGGTTGGGGGAGAGAAGAGGTAAACTATAGAACTTAGATGCATGTATGCATAACCAATGGACATAGACAACAATGCTGGGGACGGGGCGGCGTGGAGGGGGAGCAGGAGGAGGGTGTCAATGGGGGGAAAAGGAGAAACATCTGTAACAGAAATAAATTAATAAGCCCTGGCCAGTTTGGCTCAGCGGTTAGAGCATCGGCCTGCAGTCCAGAGAGACCTGGGTTCGGTTTCCGCTAAGGGCGTGTACCTTGGTTGCGGTTTGTCCCCAGCCCTGGTTGGTCGTGCAGGTGGCAGCCACTCGATGTGTCCCTTTCACGTCGATGTTTCTCTCTCTATTTCTCTTTCTATCTGATCAAAATATGGAAAAATGTCCTCGGGTGAGGATAAAAAAAAAGGAGGGCATTTTTTAATATAGAAGAATGTAATTACAATAGAATAAATGTCCATCTTCAAAAACAAAACAAAAAGCCTTTAGAAAGTAGTAAGACCACCTGGCCAGTGTGGCTCAGTGGTTGAGCGCCAACCCATGCACTGAGAGGTCACCGGTTCAGTTCCTGGTCAGAGCACATACCCAGGTTGTGGGCCTGATCCCCATTCAGAGGCATGCGGGAGGCGGCCATTTGATATTCTCTCATTGATGTTTCTATCGCTCTTCTTTTCCCTTCCTCTATATCTAAAATCAATAAAGAAAAAAAAAAAAGAAAGTAGTAAGCCCAACTAATTACTATTAATATTGGAGGACAGATTCTTTATGTTGTCAGCAGTGAGTAGTTAGTCTCCTACATCAATGTCCTAACTACTCAAATGTGTTTGGGTATTCTCTCTCTCTCCCTCCCTCCCTGTCTCGGTGTGTGTGTGTGTTTGATATTTAAAAGCATACAGAATCACTTTTGGAATGTTCTTGTTCAGTTTCTAAACTAAAGTATACCAGAACCCCTGGGAAATTCATTATAAATGTATTTTAGAGCTCCATTCCTAGAAATTCAGATTCAGTAGGTCTAGAGTATACTAGGTGATAACTGAGATTTGGGATTAACTAGTATGGTTATTTTATCTATCCATTGGGTTTTCAAGTGTATCATTCTTGTGTAATAACAACTCCTCAATACAGCCTTGTGGTTGACTCCCAGAGAAACAACCAAAGCTAGCTTTCTTCCTTTTATTCCATTGGCTGTACTCATAGCCACAAAGCCATCTTGGGTGAACAGTGCCACCTGATGGTCAGTGAAGGAAACTAAGATACTTTATATTTCCATCCTGTTCCCTCTCAACTAGCTCAAACCACCTCTAAGCTTTATCCCCTGTTTGACTAGCCATAGCTTGGTTATTTATATCCTTTATATTCTTTGTTCTCATGGATATATATGGCCTCTTTACACTTTATTGTTCTTAATTTACTCCTCTGATTCTAGCTCAGATGTCTCAGAAAAACTCATCCTTTTCTTTCTGTTTCTTTTTGTGTGAACCGAACACAACCCTTGGCAGTCAGAATAATTAGTGACTATAAATGATCAGTGAGTAGGGGGTGTGTGTGGGGGGACAGAGATACTTAAATACTGATTAAAAGTGGTAGGTTGATGTGTTTATCTTTACTTCTTAAATTTTAATAAAGTGGTAGCAAAAGAATAAAAAGTGACAGACCCACAAGGACAAAGAGAACAGGGGAAGAGATAGAGATACTAAAGGATGTCAACATGTTTTTGGAAAATGGAGCAGATGAATGAGTATAATTGTTCTAACAGAGCAGAACAAGCTGATACCTTTATATCTATAGAGGGGTGCACTGAAAAGAAGGGAGGAGATTCACTTTTTACAGTTCCAGAAAGGCTTAGGAATTAGATGCATAAGATACTTTGGAAGATAGATAAGTACACAGGACTGAAAAACAGGACTTTTGTTGAAAATTTATAAGGAATGATCAGAGTCCCCAGTTCCCCTAAGTGCATATCGAAGTGATGTCTTCTCCCCCACCCTAGCAAGAGAAGCAAAATTTATTTTCAGGGGAGTGTAACTAGAGAAGTACCAGACTTTGAGGTAAGAAGCACAGGATAGTGGTAAGATGCCATACTGAAGACCCATCCCCGCCCATTCCCCTCTCCTCCCTCTCTGCAACCAGAATGAGAGTAGTCAGGCTTACTACCTGCTAAGCAGAAGGTTGATAGACCCGTCTCTGGAAAAACTGACTAGACCCAGAGAAAAGACCTACAGGTTGATGTTTGCATCCTCCAAGAAGTCAGGACTCCTCCTGACTACCATGTAGTGAAGCCAACAGTAAATAAGCTCTGTCTTGTGTGAAAAACTTCCAGTCAGCTTTGTAGTACCTCACTTAAATAAGAACAGTTAGCCAAGGATCCCCAGTCAGACATTAGAGAAAAGCCTCCAACATGAAAGGCAGACCAAAACTAACAAAATGTAAAAGGAACTTAGAAGAAACAGATGGCAATTATACAGCAAAAGAAAACAAACAAACAAACAAAAAGAAAAGCCTATAATTATCTTCAGAGATAAGAGATTGCATTCATAACACTAGAACAAAATGCAAATAAAACTAACAATCAGAATAAGAGAGAGCTCTTGGAAATTAAAAATAAGATAAAATTAAAAAAGTTAGTAGAGCCTGGCCAGTGTGACTCAGTGGATTGAATGTCATCCCATGGACTGAGAGGTCCCGATTTGATTCCCAGTCAGGACACATGCACAGGTTGCAGGCTCGAGCCCCAGTAGGGGGTGTGCAGGAGGCAGCCAATCGATGTTTCTCTCTCACATCGATGTTTCTATCTCTCCCTTCTTCTCTCTCTAAAAAATCAATAAAAACATTTTTTTTTCCCTCACCCGAGGACATTTTTTGTTGCATTTATCTTCAGATAGAATGGGAGGGAGAGAAGGAGAAAAAGAGAGAGAGAAACATCGATATGAGAGAGACACATCAAGTGGTTGCCACCCACACAACCCCAAGTGGGGCCGGGGACAAACAAAAATCAATAAAAACATTTAAAAATATTTAGAGGTATGGGAATATAAAGTTGAGGAATTCTCTTAGAAATTAGAACAATAACTCGAAGAGGTAGAAAAAAAGAACAGAAAAAATTAGAGAAGCTATTTAGGAAGTCTGATATCTGACTAATAGGAATTTCAAAAAGAGAACAGAGGAAAGGGTGGATTGGAATTATTAAGTAATACAAGAAAACTTCTAAGAACTACAGGATATGAGTTTGCAGATCAAAAGGATTCGCCAAGTAGCCAAGAAAGGAATGAAAAAAGGCCCACACAAAGGTGTATTCCTGTGAAATTTCAGAACTCAGGGATAAAGAATAGATCTCAGTGAGGTCACTTATAAGAATGAGTCCAGTGGCAGCAGAATCTCTGACAGCAACACTATGAGCCAGAAGGCAATGGTGCAGTACCTTTGTATTCTGAGGGAAAGTGATTTCAATCTAGAATTCTATACCTAACTGAAATAACAATCAAATGTGAAGGGAAAATAAAAACATCTTCAGACATGTAAAAAGAAAAAAATGACCTTCCATAGCTTCTTTCTAGGGGATTGTTGGAGAGACTTAGTTCTGCAATGTCTAGCTGTGTGGGCTTGAATGTCTGAGTCTCCTTCTCATCTCCAGTGTGAAATTAATAGTAGTGCTTTCCTACAGGATTTTGAAGGTTAAACAGATTGAGTGAAAAGCATGCAGTGCAGTACTCAATTCATATTAAGTAGGTAGGTTGGGCTGTGACCACTAGTGGTGCTGTGTTTAAAGTATTTAATTCAACTTTAGCATTCTGTTTATTTATAAGTATTGCAGTGATTTTGTTTTCTTTAATGTTTGGTTACAGTTGTAAAGTATTTCATTCATAATTTCATCAAATATTGAACTACTGCTGTTTACCAAATCCTCTTGTGAGTCTCATAGAAAAAAATAGAGAACAAGACAGTTAGGGTCCCTGTTCTCATGATGTAACATACTAGTGGGGCAAGGGGATCCCCAAGCAAACAGATGCACTAGATTACCTTGAATAGTGCAATGGCCATGATGGAAATAAGTAGGATGCAGTAATGGTGAGCAACGGAGAGGGTACTCACTTTGGACAGAATGGTTGAAGAAAAGGTGTTTAAGCTGGGATCTGAAGAATGAGAAGGAAGAGGCTTAGAAGGAGCTAAGGAAAGGGATCAGGCAGAGGGAATAGCAGGAATAAAAGCATCAACCCTGAGGCAGGTTTGGCTTGTTCTAGGCCAGGGTGACTAGAGTTTATTGGTAGATGCTTTTGGACAGAGAAGCAAGAACTGCATCATGCAAAGTCTTATAGGCCACATAAGGAGTTTATATTTTCTTCTAAACATCATGAGAAGTAACTGGGAGGTTTTAAGCAAGGGAATAGGAAGGTAAGTGTGATGAAGAGAAGTGGAATGACTTGAGGTGTGTTTCATAACATTGTAGATGAATTAGACTGAGCCAGGTTACCCGCTCACCATTTAGAACATAGTTTCCTTGGGAAAATGCATGCAGATTTACTTTCATGATACTTTTCTAATTTTATAGAGTTGTTTGCTTTTTACTCTTAAATTTTCTTTGTAAAATCTCATTTTAACACATGGCCAGTATGAGGTTTAAAGAACCAAGTA